ATGCTCCGACACCATATTGCAGTGTAATTCCATTGCACCTAATCCTACTGACACTGCATCACATATCTTGGGGTGATAGAACATCAGATAGGCCCGTCCGATACAAATATCTTGGCAGTGTCAATGTCACAATTCAAACACTGTGAGAGCCTAGTGAAGTGATCTCATGGGGCTGCTACATTCACTAAAGTGACTTGGCCTTGCCCCCAGTGTAATGGATGTGTAGGTGTTGATTTGACCCTAAGTGATCCTGATGATGTCCACACAATGTCTGCAACCTGAGAAGTCCTAGTACTACCTTTTACCACTGGAAGCAGGATTTTCCTTCCCATAGCACCTAAATCTTTGTCACTAGAGCCTCCAGTCCTTGATTTTTGAATCCTATGCCTTTGGTTTACACCTATGTGTGAGCCAGGACCTCCAGGTGATATCCATGGACCATCCTATGTGTCCTAGAACTCATGTATGATTTTGCATTTGCATGCTTTCCTGCACTTCTGTGCATCCCTAAGGTCTTGTAAGGCATCCAAAGGTTCCCAAGATTCCTGAGAGTGTGCATGTGATATCACAGTGACAGTTCCTGACTTAAGAAAACTGAAAAGTGTCCCTGTACTGCAGCTGTTGGATCAAGAAGCATCCAGAGCATGAGTTTCTGACCATGGGAACTTACCCTTGCAGCCTTACTTCATCAAACCTTGTTTATTTACTCCTGTTGGACTGTGGAAAACCAGAAGAGAAATTTCTTGTGGAGTTCAAAAATACTTATTGCCTTGGTGGGTGGGATGCTCTGATGGGGGGGAGGGATGGCAAACAGAGCACACTCTATATACACTAGAGGTGCCCAAAAATAGCCTGGAAAAGTAAATTTTTGCCAAGAACCTGCTAATCTCCTCTGAGAACCTGTCATCTCCAATATCTCAGCCAATACAAATGATGAACACAAATCAATACTGTCAGTCTTTACTTTGTGAGTAGGAAGTAAATACTGAATGAAACTAAGATTGATTTATGCTTTGATAAACCACAAAGCATGTATTAAACAGAACCTATTGAGACCAATTTAAGTCTGAATTCTTGTGATGTGAGGTTCTAGCTTCAGTTAGCTGGACTCTCAGTTGAAAGTGCAATGATGAAAGGTTGGTTGAGTCAAAGACTCAGTGCAATCAAGGGTTTCTTCCCCAAATCCTCTAGTGATTCAAAGCCTAGGAGGCAGATGGGCACTGTGAATCCACTGGGTGAGCAGGAGGACCAGCCTTTCTTAAACACAGTGAGGCACTGCCAAGAAAATTGCATCACATAGAGGCATGCTATGTCACATAGCAGGCCAAGATGTGATGCAATAGGTCTATTTTCCAAGGTAGGGACCTTGAAAAATGGTCCATGGTATCACATGAAGACATGCTATGTTACATAGCAAGCTTCCATGCGATGAAAATATATTGGCAGTGAGGGGCTGAATCCCAATTTAGAGCTTCACTCAGCAGGAACTAAGACACTTGTGGTCTTCTTCCTCAACTAGCTCCCTCCAAGAACCTTAAAGACAAGAGAGAGGAGCTTCCTAGTATGAGGGCCAGTGAATACAAGGTAGTGTGAACCTTGACAACCAAGAAAGAGTCAAAAGAAGGGACTTAAGGGATCAAGCTTATTTCTACTTAATAGAATAATCACCACACCCAGATTAGGGTGATTGATTCTATGACTATATCAGAAGAAGAAAGCTCAGTGATCACTTTAATAGTGTCTCAAGCTGTTGAGGTGTAAATTCTTAATTAATTGATTGATTGTTAGAAATGTCCTCTTGGAGGGAAGAATCTGGGACCTCCTTTTATACCCTCAGTCTTCAATCTTCCTTCACTATAGGCATTTCCCATGTCAAAGGGCTAACCTAGCCCTTGCTGGTTCATCTTGTAATAAATAATATCTCTTATTTATTACAAGGTACTTAATTTAGATTTACACTTCTTCATCTGGTGGATGATACTTGTGTAATGCCATCAGATGGCTTTATATATGTATCTACAGCTCTTGACACTGAGCTTGAGGTGTGGTTAAATTATTACACCATTAATTACATATGTAGTACATATGTTACACTACTCAATACCTATGTAAGACATGTGTTACACTACTTATTGTATGTGTACATCACTTATTACACATGTAATACATATGTTACACTATGTATTATACTTATTCCTCCTAATTATTATGTATGTACATGTCTTCTTGCAGTCTGTGGGACTGTCATGCAGTCCTCAGGGCTGACATGTGATCTTTTGACAGGAGGTGGCTTCTGTAAGGCTACCTCCTGGCTGGAAATTATGGAAGGAAGAGTCAAAGGACTTATTCCTTTTGGGGAAGGCATTTGCTTGGCTGTCTTGATGTTAGGGACAGCTTCTGGAAAGCTACTTAACAGAACAAGGCTGAGGGAGAAAGGGGACTGGAGACCCCAATTAAGAACTTATGCCAGTGGTGCTGGGCATTCCCCCAAGTACCCACTTTCAAAATATTTGCATTGCATGAAGGCATGCTAGGTGACATGCCATTTCTCCATGTGATGCTATTGAACAATTTCCAAGGCTACCTTGGGGAATTGGCCTATTGCATTGCATCAAGACATGCTATATCATATAGCATGACTACATGCAATGCAAATATGCTGGTGGTGACTGACTGCAGCTAGTTGATCTCAAGGATGAGGATTTGGAGGACTGGGTCTGAGATTTGGTAATCTTCACTCAGGGATTCAGAGTTACAGTTAGACACTAGTAACACTCCACTCTGATCCAACTTTTACAAGCCAGGGTTCTCTTTTCCTGCTTGGGAAATTCTTGAGCTCTAACCCTTGTGAGTCCTCACAGACAAGGGTATCCAGGAGCAAGGTCTACCAGCCTATGTGTGAACCCCTTATATTGACACCCAGAGCACTGTTGCACTATTAAGCAGATGACTTGTTTACAAGTATCCTCAATGATGTGCTATTCATGCTATTTAGGTGTGTGGTAAAAGGTTAGGGATTGGGACCTACTCCTGTCCTGAGGGGGAGGGTTTATATGCCCTGTTCTCAGGCTTGTCCCTCACTATTAGGCTAATGGCCTACTTGTGGTTTGTTTGGGTTTCCATTACAACCTTTGGTCAACTTGTGGTACCTTGGGTTGTCATGACAAGCCTTAGTCAACTTGTGGTTGAGTACTTGTTACAGTGTTGTGTATCCATTCCTGTTATAAGTGCATACTTAAGGCTCCTGAAACTGAGCCTGTGCTGTGATTATCCATTATTACCTGTTTGTAGATATATTTAATGTTGTTTTAATATTATGATTACATATGTACTTTTGTTGGTACTATATGTAATCTTACCCTACACTTGTATTTACACATGTACTATTACAGTGCTATGTGTAATTGGTATTTGACAGTTTGTGGGACTGCTGCACTTCCAGCAGAAACTACTAGGACATGGTTGTTCTAGAAGTCCTAGGACCAGAGTTGTCCTAGATGTTCCTGGTTTGGATAAGGAAAAACTAGGACAAAGCCTGTCTGAGGAAATCTAGGACAAGCTTGTCCTAGATGTCTTTGTTGGCAGTGCTGAGCAGTCCTCAGGGCTGATATTTCATATGTACTCTTGTTAGTACTATATCTAATCATTTATGTTACTATTACTGTACTTTCTTTAATTGGTGTTTGACAGCCTGTGGGACTGCTGAGCAGTCCTCAGGGCTGAAATTTTTGACTGACAAGCCTTCTTGTCTAGCAAGGTTTATGACAATTAACCTGGTTAATTTTGAGAGAGAAATCTCAGAAACAATT